GCCACGACGGCGGGGCCGGAGCGACATGCCAGCGCCGAACGGCCGAACGGCCGAACTCCGACCGCTCCGACCGCGCCTCGGCACGAAGCGAGACCTCCTCGGTCCTGCGGTCGGCGTCGGCGGGAAGCACCGGCGGGTATTAAATCACTCGGAAATCCAATCGGTTCCCGGGGTCACGGGAGCCGCTGTACCAATACAGCACCGTCAACCCGCCGCGCCGCCTGGCCAAGCTGGCCTCGCAGTGTACTCCCCTCTCCTTGGAGGAGCCGAGGAGGAGCCCCCAGCACTAGCGCAGCTAGCGCCCCCGGAGTGCAGCCGTGCCGGCAGCTGGGCACTGCTCGGCGCTGAGCGCCAAATCGCAGCCTCGGACCGCAGCCCCCTCCCCCTCCCCCGCAGCATCACCGCCACCCTTTCCCTTCCCGCTGCGTCCCGCCCCGTCCCGCCCGGTCGGCTCGTCACGGGCCAGGTGCGTCGAGCAACAAACAGACCGAGGAAAAACGGGACGCGCGTCGCGCCGCGCCTGCCGCAATTTAATTGCAAAGTTTTACTCGGCGAGGCGGGCAGGCAGGGCAGCCCGGCAGGCATCGAGCTCAGGCCTCAGGCACGCGGCTCGAATCGGGCCGCTGCCGTGCGCGGCAAGATTGCCTCCGCCCCGCCCGCCTACAGTGGGCCAGAAGACCGGTGGAGGCGGACAAAACTCCAGACGCGTTTTGAGCTCAAGAGTCGCTGAATCGGGCACGAACCGAACGTGTGACCCCACCAATGGATTCCGCTTTCGGAGAGCAATCCATTGGGGTTACACATTCGTTCCGTGTCCTGTTTAGCGGCTCTGGAGCGCGAATACGCGTCTTCTAGAGTTTTGGCCGCCTCCGCCGGTCTTCTCGCCCACTGTGCCGCCAGCCCCGCCGCACGTCTGCCTGTCGTACTGCAAGAAGGCACTGGCCGCCAGGCAGCGCCACTGTAAGAACGGGGCGCATTAATCGGATCTGCTGGAGGGTGGCGAGGACGGCGCCGGGAGCGGGACGGCCTAGGGGCGGCCGGCTCCTCGTTCAACTCGTTTTTTCCCGCCAACAGCCGGAAAAACAAGAAGAGCGATGCTGTCACCGGCATCTGTGCCCCCGCCAGGCCTCCACATCGAGGGGTACCTCCCTTATCGGTCGTTTGTCCCAAGGCGGGCAGGGCCCCTGCAGGGCCCCTGCAGGGGGCGGCCCGGATATGCGCTCCGCATGCGCCCCGTTTTTTATCGCGCATTTTATCGCCGACCAGAACCCCGCGGCCCTCTCACTCTACAGGTAGAGTGCAGCGAGTGCAGCGGCGGCGCGCTGGCGCTTTGACAAGCGTATTGTGCTTGAACAAGGTTAGGTTCGCCCGACACGGCGGCGCGCTGGCGCTTTGACAAGCGTATTGTGCTTGAACAAGGTTAGGTTCGCCCGACACGCCCCCGAGTGCCACCGCCATAAAAAGCCATCCGTTACCGCACGCCATGCCGAGGCGTGCCTGCCTGGGGGCTACCGGGCGCCCAGGGTGGCGACTTACCGAAAACTTCCGATGTTTATACCTCAAGACAGTGCAGCGTCATGCAGAGGGCGACACACTCTGGCATGCTCGCCTAAAGCTGGGTTATTTGTGTCATTTTTGGCGCTTTCCGGCCGCGGCGCAGACAATGCGAAAGGAAACAGTAGCCGGGCACGCTCTGCGTCTCCCTTTCCTCGCGGTCCTCGCGGTCCTCGCGGTTGGTGGCCGGGAATGGCGGCGTTGTTAGGGTGCTTCGGTTTGACACACTGGCGGGGCGCGGCGGCCTCGGGGAGGGGTAGGAAATTGAGCCACCCGGTCCGCCCCGTCATCACTCTATGGCCACGCCGGGGCCGCGCAGGGCCGCGTCGACGTGACGCCGTGACGCCGTCCCCGGAGAGGCTGCGAATAAACGCTTGCGTCAGCCAGCGCAGCAGCGCTTGCCTCTGCCTTGCCTCTGCCTTGCCTCTGCCTTGCCTCTGCCTTGCCTGGCCCAGGGCTGGCCCAGGGCTGGCCTGGCCGCCCGGCGACGCTGCCCCGTCTGGGTGCTGCCGGGTGCTGCTCCACTAACAGCCCGAAGGCCGCGCCGCAGCGCCGCTTGGTTGTGCAACCCGGTCCGGTGCCTTGCCGCCTACTCCTCCTCCTCAGGGCGCTACAGCAGGGTGGTCCCACCCGCGCAGCGCGGCCGGCAGTCTTTCTCCCTCGCACCTGTACGGGGCGCCCTATGAGTGCGAGGGAGTGCGCTGCCCCACCGCGACCTTGCCCGCCCCGCCGCAGTCCAGCTCGGCCCCGACTGCCGCCTCTCGGCTCCCGAATCTCGGACGCGCGCGCCGCCGGTCACCCATATCGGATGCTTGGGTCAACAAGGCCACCCCGCGCACTGAAAACTCCAAGCGCGTACTCAGCACACTAGGAAGCGCATGCTTCGTCAAGCACGTACTTGGAAGAAAGTACTGGTATCGGTTTCAGTCTTTCAGTCGGTGTAATCGGGTTGCTTAGTCAGAGCGGCCCAGTGAGGTCCAGGGTGGAATAAGGGCCAGGGCTGGTCCTGGAAACTCCCCCATCTGCTGCTGCGAGCCCTTGGCGCCCTTAGCGCCGTCTTTTCTTCTTCCTGGGTCTGCTTGCCGCTTCCTCTTGCAAGTTTTTTTCGTCCCGCGGCCTCGAAACCACTTCCAATTCGAGCAGCGCCTTCATTAGCGGTGCGCGGCAGCGGGCAGCGCCGGGCAGCGCAGCAGCTACGCGTCCGGGACGGGATGGGATGGGCACAGCCAGGGCACAGCCCGGCCCGCCCCACCATGACGTCATCGCCCACCTCTAATCTGTTTCCCGCGAGCGGCGACGCGACGTCCGCGGGAGAACGCGGAGACGCGAAATGAGCCAAAGTGGCGAGGACCTTGTGCCGGGCCCGGGCGGGCCGCACAGTGGGTCAGAAGACCGGTGGAGGTGGCCAACACTCTAGACGCGTTTTGAGCTCCAGAGTCCCTAAATGGGACTCGAACCGCACGTGTGACCCCACCAATGGATTGCTCTTCAAACGAGGAATCCATTGGTGGGGTCACACGCTCAGTTCGAGTCCCGGTTAGCGACTCTGTAGCTCAAAAGGCGTCGTGAGTTCTGGCTGCCTCCACCGGTCTTCTGGCCCACTGTGAGCCGCCCTTGGCCCTTGCTTGACAGGCCGGGTGGTTACATAAGGAAAAGGCCGCCAAAATCTCAATCAACGGCGGCCTAGGTGGCGACAAAGCCTTTCCAGGGCCGACAGACCCGCCTCTCGCTCGGCCTCTCCAGAGCGCCGCCGCGCCGTCTTACCTGTAAACGCGGCCCTCGCCGGCCCTCGCCCACCCCCGCCCACCCCCGCCCCGCCGACCTCGCCAACGCGGCGCCAAAATTGGCCCGCCAGCCAAACCGTGTATATAGTATTGAAGGCACGGCGAGACGACGCCGTGCTTGGCCGTGCCGCCGGGATTGACGATGACAGCGAGGGCGGAAAATAAAACTGCCAATTGCAGCGGAGGGTAGCTGGAGCCTGGAGCGCGGAGCAGCCAGGCAGCCAGCGAGGCGCGGCAGCACGCGGCAGGCAAGCCTAGGGGCAAGCCGGGCCCGGAGCGCGGAGCAGCCAGGCAGCCAGCGAGGCGCGGCAGCACGCGGCAGGCAAGCCTAGGGGCAAGCCGGGCCCGGAGCGCGGAGCAGCCAGGCAGCCAGCGAGGCGCGGCAGCACGCGGCAGGCAAGCCTAGGGGCAAGCCGGGCCCGGCCCTTGGCCCGGCCGGCCCGGGGGCTCAAGCCATGTCGCCGCTCCCCACGGACCGGACGCCGGCCGCCCTATCTCCCTGCACCAGCTCTTTATCTTGAGTACCTTTCAGCCCGGGCGCAACTTTTTATCGAGCGCTGCAGACCAATGACATAAATTAGAGCGCAATGAAGGCGCGCCGCAGCGAGGCAGCGAGGCGCAGCGCAGCGTCAGCCGGATGCAAGGCAACAGCAGCGGGGTCTTCTCGGTCTTCTCGTCCGCCAAGCTCGGCCCGGCCCGGCCCGGCCCGGCCCAGCCAGCCCCAGCCAGCCCCGAGTAGCGGGGACAAGTTTCGGTTTAATCGTGCGACGGCGAGGCGCCCCCTCCACTGTCTTCCACACCCTGCTGTGTCTCGTCCTGTTTTTTCCGAGCGCGTCTTTCTTCTCGGCAAACTTGCCCCTGCTGCCACAGTTTTGATAAGGATTTCCGCGAGATGAGTGGCGGGGCGGCGGGGCGGTGGGGCGTCGCGGCTGGCGGGGTGCAGGGGTGGGCCGGCCGGCCAGTCGAACCGCGTCGAACCGAAGCCCCGCCGCCCCGCCGCCCCGCCGCCACTTGAAGCCCCTTACGCCTTGCAGCGAGGAGGTGCCGCCTCGTCTCTACAGTTGACAGCGAGCTTATTCTGAGAAGAGCTCCCTTCGCTCCGTCTCACTCGCAGGCATGCACGGGGTGCACGGGGTGCGAGAGAGACCGCGAGGCGCCGCGAGGCCCTGTTCGGAAGCAACCCGCTGCCGCGAGTCCGAGTCGTCGGAGTGGCCCGCGCTGCCGCGGTGCCGCGCCGGGAGGGCCGAGTCAACATCCGGGATCCGGAGGCCAGCCGAGAGGCCAGACGAGAGGCCAGCCGAGAGAACTGAGACGGAAAATCAATCAGTCAAAAGGCGGGTCTATCGAGCATCGAGCCCTCCGCCAACTTGGCGACAGAAACTTTTTTTTCTTCTTTATGGTTGAGTGCATTTTATCACCCGGCAGGGTCGGATTCTAATTCAATGCCAGGCCCGGGGCTGCGGGGATGTATGGTATGGCCGTTTTCCGGGAGAAATGTTGCCTGTATTTACGCAACGCAGCAAGGCCCGGCCCGCCAGGCCCGCCAGGCCACGGCGGTCCCTATCCGGTCGTCTATCTGACAGCCCTGCAGGGCCTGTCGCCAGCGAGGTCGCCAGCCTTGAGTCTGCGTCAATGTCTCACTGAATGAAAATAATATTTCAGTGGCCGTGGTGGTGGCGTTCTTCATCTGCTGGGCGCCGTTCCACGCGCAGCGCCTCCTCGCCGTGTACGCCTCGCCCGACAGCCAGCGCCACGACGCCATCCGCGCGCTGTACAACGCGCTCACCTACATGTCGGGCGTGCTGTACTACCTGTCCACCACCGTCAACCCCGTGCTCTACCACATCATGTCCAACAAGTTCCGGGAGGCGTTCAAGGTGAGGCACTGTTCCGGGGTCCGGCTGCGGCGGGCTGAGGTGGCCACCGCGTGACCGTCGAGTGACTGTTGCAGAACACTTTGCGGACGGAGTGCGGCTGGTGGCGACGGCGCAGCGACGCGCGGCGCCGCCAGTCCTACGCCAACCTCTCGGGGCGCGCGCTGGGGGTGGCCTGCCCCGCCTGCCCCTGCCCGCAGTACTGCGGCCCCGCGTGCGGCCCCGCGTGCGGCCCGCACTCGCACTGCGGCTCCACCACGCTCACCACCACGTTCGACGAGCGCAACAACACGTACTCGTGAGTTTGCACTGCATGGCCACGACTGCCACTGGGGTTGGGGGGCCATTCGACCGGGCGACTGTGCACAGCCAGAGTGCTGGCTGGCCGCATTCACCCAATTACTGTCAAAGAGACGCCGATGGTCAATTCCATTGTCGGCGTCCATGCAGCACATGCAGGCCTCGGCCGAAACAATAATGCACTCTGACGCCAGCATCCCGGACCCGGAGAACGCGGCGGGCGGAGGGCGGCAAGCGCCTGCGTGCAGGCCGGCCCGCCGCGCCCCCGAGCCCCGCGGTTGCCTACCCAGCAGGGGCTCTCTGACGCGTTGCTGACGCGTTGCTTCCCCTGCCGGCAGGACTGTGGAGGAGCGTGGCACCCGAAGCCACCGCAGCGTGCGCTGCTGCCTGAGCGCCGCCGACGTGCAGGATGACTGCCTGTACCGACATCAGGGCCTCCACGGCCACTCCGGCCGCCACGGCCACCACTGTCACCCCGCGGGCAGGCACGGCAGGCACGCCAGGGTGGCGGCGGGCCTCGGGAACGGAGGCGACGCGGCGGCGGGGGCGGACGGCCAAGTCTGCGAGGCTCCGCATGCGCAGCACCGCGCCAACGGCAACGGCAACGGTAGGACAAGGCCGTGAGGCCGGCAACGCAAACTACTCTCGTTGACAAATGTTTTCTGACTGCGCGCACCGCGGTGCTCTGTTCCAGGCGTCTCGACGAGGCCGCGGCCCGGCCAGCCCCTGCGCCTGGCGGTGCCCCAGCCCGCGCCCCCCGCCACGTTCGACGCGCCGCCTCTCTCCGCCCCGCCGTCGTCCCCGACGACGTCCCCAACGACGTCCCCGACGACGGCCGCGGTGCCCGCCGGGCGCGCCACCTCCCCGAGGACCTCCCCGAGGACGTCACGGTCGCCGATCGAGGCGCTGGCGCGGAAGCTCAAGGCCATCCCGGCGCGGTCAGTGCGCTCCGCGCGCTCCGTGCGCTGGCTGCCCGGCACCAGGGGCGGCCTCGGCGGAGACGCACTCGGCGACGGCGGGCTGCGCGCCGACCACAGCGCCATCTCCAACTCGAGCCTCCAGGAGTGGGACCGCGCCGAGCAGGGCGGCGCCGAGCTGGCCGAGCTGGTGCAGTACATGGGGGAGCTGAACCGTCGGCACGCCGCCAAACTTTAGGGACGCCGGCGACACCGCCTGGCTGCGGGCTGCCTCTCTGGGCTGCCCCTCTGGGCTGCCCCTCTGGGCTGCCCGTTGGTTGCAGTGCTGGAGCAGCCGGGGACCGCAGCCAACCGCGTCGTCCATAGAGACAGTGTGGACTGTGAGTGTGTGTGTTCGTGTGCTTGACGTGGTGCCGCTCCCCCTGCAGTTTCAGCGATCGCCAGACTGGATAAGAGTGGAACTGGACGTTGTTACGCCGGCATTCCAGAGACTCGCTTCCGGGATCACGGCGGGGATCGTTCATGCGGCTATGATAGACAAATCGGTGAGCATCGCCGACGTCAACAGGGGGTATCGCCGAAGCCCCATGTTCATCATAACTCCGAACCAAACCGTTGTTTGTCCTTTTTTTTCTTGTTTTCGGCTTTATTTTGTTTTTATGTCAAGCCGAAATAGATGGGCTGTAGATTGATCCTCGAACGTCACGGGTCAAATATTGCTGCATCAATCAAAGGTTAACGGCGTCTGTACGGCGACAGCGCCCAATCTTTGCCTCTATGCTGCACTGCGTGCACACGGGAGGTATGTGGATATGAGTGTTTCTAGTCATTTTAAAGCGAGATCCGGTACAGCATTGAGCTGTCAGAGAAAAAGTCATTCTTGATGCAACTAGAGTCGTAAAGCAAATTTATTTATTTTGATTGGGAATGTATGAAAATGAAAGGTGTGATAAAAGTGTTGAAACAAAGAAACGTCTGTGAAATCCGTTAATAAGGTTCTTCCATGGCAACGGTACTGCTGTTCATTTGATTACGGCAACGAAAAATAGACTGTCGATACCCCTCGCGCAGGCTCAAGCCCAAAGCTGGCGCTGGGAGTCTTTCTCACGCGGGGTAGCGACGGATCAATTTCATTCGTTCCTCACAAAAAATAAAAGTATGGCCTACCTTTTTTTCAGTCCTTTTTCGTTACACGCTGAATGTGCGGTAGTTTAAAACCCTTGCATTTTCGAATTTAAGTGGGTCGCGAAGTCATGAAAACGGCCTCTGCGCCCATTTGCGAAATTAGTTCATGTAGAAGAACAAGACTTGTAAAATTTGATCTACAACACAAATCTGGAATAAACAATGAGAACGTATTTTGACCTTACCCTTCAATTCCTTTCACAAAACACCATAAAACAAACAGCACTACGAGTCTACGTAGTGTGCCTGAAACATGCAGTAAGTTAAGTTTCTGCTTGACAATTATTTGATGAGATGCCGATGGGGGGAAGTGAGAAGAATCGTTCAAAACGAAGCGCTGCCGCCATAGGGAAGTGCCAGCCGCCGGCAACTCCCCTGGCCGCACTAACCCCCACCGCCGCCACACCGTAACACGCGCAGGTTGCTGGAAATGTTCGCCGGGCAAGGGCAAGTAGATTCATTATGTAAATACGCACACCGCCCCCTAAGTGAAATTAAAATCATGCTGACTCTAGCTGTCGACGTAACCCGTTTGAACCTTGAGCGGTTGGCGCGGTTGGCGCGGAGGGGAACGGCAGCCAACCAGAGCGCGGCCCTCCGCGCGACAGTGGCGACAGTGGCGCCATCTCTTGAGAGGTTGGGGAAACGTTGTATTAAACAAAGCAGTGCATGCTGGGAAGGGAATATGGCGTCTGCTTCTTGGCCAGCCTAGAAATTTTCTTTCTGCTCGAAGCTGTCAGTCCCGGAAAATTTAACGTTTGAATTGTTTAGACGAGGAAAGTAAATTGCAGATGGACGAAGTGGGTCCTGACCATTAGAGCCACGCGGTAGCAACTGAGCGGATGGTGAGGTGAGTGTTTGGAAGAGAACCGTGTAATGCATTGTCTTCTGCAGCAGTTGGGACGAAAATGCACAAGCTTTCCCTTTGCTGTGGCTTGTTGTCTACTTCTCAGTGCAATAATACTCTAAACCAAAGTGTTATTATTGTGTTCTAACACTTGTTGGAGGCTGTCAAGCTGCCATTGCTGTAGGTGATGTGACCTATTTTGATATAATGGCCTCTCAGGATGTGGCTCAGTTTCTGCTCTTTTGCTAGACGTCAGATTCTTCGCGCACTAGAGAAATAGACAGAAATAGACTCATTCCATTTCATCACTTACTTAAACGCGATATTTGTCTGGACATGTCAGTCAAGACAAATATTTGTTGGACGGTCGTGTCTCTAGAGCAGCAACTATCCGCTGATGGAAGTTAGAGGATTTCACAGTTTCCACAAAGAAGAGTCCCATTTAAGAGCTAGAGAGGTGATAATAGATTCTTATTAACTGTATCATTGCACTGATCGAAAAGTTAACATTACTTAATCATATCTAAAGAGTCTTTCGGTAACAGTGCTATGCCTCTTAGTGCCACTGCAAACTTTGACAGTTTCCAATCAAAACAGTGGGATGGCGTGCACCTGCACCTGCTCTTTCACCCTTTTCTTGGTTGCTGAAGCTTTTCTGAAACCTTCTTCCTATTGAGACTTCAATGCAATCCTTGCATAATTTTTCAAAGAAAATTTTATATAGATGTCTTTGTTATTGTTGTTTGCAGTAAAGTAATATTTATTGTAAGGTTGTAAGAGATGTCACAAACTAAATTATTAAATATTTGGCTTAAAATTATTAGAATAGAAATTAAAAATGTAACTGCTGATGATTTCTTTTTCATGCCTCCTTGAACATATATTATCGAATCTCATCTGTTTCCTCTGTGTTGTTTTATTTTCAGATGTTTATGTGCAGAAAAAGTTTTAGCAATAGTAAAGGACAGAGACGTTCTCAAAATAATTTAAATCCCTCTCAGTAAGATAAGAAAAACAAACTGTCCAAAATGGTGGAAGTTGAATGTGGTGGATTTGTCTTCACCTCAAACTTTGAGTCTGGTAATATGGCTCGAGTGGAGCAGGTTCCCCTGCCTCCAAAACCCCCACTCCTGCCAGGTGAGACCCTGAGGGAATTCCTACTGCTCTAGATATTAACTTAATCAACTGAATGCAATGAAGGTAAACCTTTGAAATTATTTCAACTTTTTGTCTTTTTCTGTAGGTCAAAACTCAACAAGCTCAGATACTCCAGATTATGAATTTAACATCTGGACAAATCCTGATTGTGCGGGTACTGAGTTTGAAAACTCAAACCGTTCCTGGTTCTATTTTGGGATTCGAGGTGAGCTTGTGAATGTCAATGTCTGCCAACAAATGCCTTTCATTGTGACCTTCTGATGATGAAGGCCAATCAATGACAATGGCAGTGTGCCACTCAAAGCTAATTGAAGATTTATGGACTAACTGGCTTTACAGCAGAGAAGTTCCTTTCAACTTTTCCTTCAGCTTAATGCATTGCACTACATTTACAGGTGGTACACCATTTGCTTTGGTGAAGTTAAATTTGATTAATTTGAATCGGCAAGTGAAGATGTACTCCCAAGGCATGGCTCCAGTCTTTCGTATACTCCCCGGCAGAGGATTGTGGGACCGGATCAGGGAGAAACCAACATACACGGTAACCTTCTCCTAAATTTAAAAAAAAAAAAATTTTTTTTTTAGAAATACCAAACAAGTTTTTTAAAATAAAATTTTGATTGTCTTTCTGTTTTAGATTGAGGACAATGTGTTCACCCTCAGTTTTCGTTATCGCACCTTGGAAAATGTCAGGGCGACAACTTACTTTGCATTCACATTCCCTTATTCTTATCAAGATCTTATGTCATCTCTCCGTGGGTTTGATAAACGGTTTAAGAACTGTATTCCTCCGGAAAAGTACTTCCCTGGCCAAGGCCTAGGTAATATACTTTCTTAAAACATTTTATATTTAAAACTGTTTTTCTTTTCTCCCGAACTAATTCAAATGATAACTGTTGCAGCATGCAATCCAGATGACATTTACTACCATAGAGAAGTGTCCACTTATTCCTTGGATGGGCGCCGTTTGGATCTCCTGACAATTACTTCACACCATGGTATCACACCATATCAAGAACCGAGGTTGAAGAACTTGTTTCCAGATCTTGAAACTCCAAGACCATACATTTTTGTGGGGAAAAAGGTACAAAGCAGCAATTCTACCATAATTAATTTGTCCATCACATTACTTAAAAACTCCTGACTTTATTCAATTATTTTTTGTTTTAGGTTGTGTTTGTTAGTGCAAGAGTTCACCCTGGTGAAGTGCCTTCGAGCTATGTTCTTAATGGTCTTCTTGAGTCTCTTCTAAACCGTGATGATTTGACATCAATACTGTTAAGAAGAATGTATGTGTTCAAGATAATACCCATGCTAAATCCTGATGGTGTTGCTCGAGGACATTTTCGAACAGACACACGGGGGGTTAATTTAAATCGAGTATACCTCAATCCATCACTCGTTCACCACCCTACAATATATGCAGCTCGAGCTATAATTCGATATGCTCATTTTGGCCAAGAGGTTCATGATGTAGGTGTTATTTCTGCTGTGTAGTATTTCAATACTTTTGCTGTCTGTAGAAGTTCTTCAAATGTTTTAACTTTTTCAGGATGTGATTGCTCAGAATGAAGTTAATGAGCAGACACATGGAGTGCCAACTCATATAGTCTTACCTGAACCATCCCCCATGATAGATGATCAGGATTTGATTTGCCAAGACATCCAGCCAAACATTATTACTGAGTGCCGCTCCTCCGACAATTTGGAAAATTTTGCTCAGCCACCAGAATGTCCTATTTCGATTTGTGATCCATTGGTCAGCCAAACTATTGATCAAGCTGATTCCACAGATAAGGACATCAACATGCAGTGTGAGATGGCACCTCACACTAATGAGGGTCTTTTGAATTTTAATGATAGTAACTCTTTACAAGGTAATGATGAGCCCATTGAAATGGAAGTGGACAAAGATAAGTCTGTGAAACTGAAGCAAGAAAATACTGATAATTTGAAAGAAACATACTGTGCTGGTTTTCCGTCTGCTATTCTTGGTTGTGGACCTACTGAAGGACCATTTGGTACTGAAAGTGAAACTTGTCCTGCTACTGAAAACAGAGAGTCTATGCTAAACGGTTCTGAGACGCCTGTTGTAAGGAAGGGTCACACAGTTTCATGTAATGAAAACATGGGCCCAGAGGAAACAAAGCGTCGAAAGGATACCAAAAGGAAGCCCTTGTCCTCTGACACAAAGTCAATGCGCATGTTTGCCAGACCAGCCAGCCGCAATGAAGACGACACAAAAAATGAAGACTGTCAGTTTTCTTGCAACAGTGGCAATAATGTTGGGAGTTGCTTGAATTCTACCAAACCATCTCTTGATCCTACAAAGTCTGGACTGTTTCTTTACATGGATATGCATGGACATGCTTCTAAAAAGGGTGTGTACCTGAGATTTTGTCCGTTTGTGAATTAGAGTGTCACGGCATTACTAAGGATATTTTCTTGCAGGCATCTTCATGTACGGAAATCATTTTGATGATATTGAGCAGCTAGTGGAGTGTATGCTGCTGCCCAAACTGATGTCTATCAACTCCCAGAACTTCCATTTCACTGCATGCAACTTTACCGAAAGGAACATGTACTTGAGGTAAACTCCTGGATCCATTCTAGAAACCGCATTCCATTATGATACATTTTTAATTGGCGGATATTTGCATTGCTGTCTCAGGGACCGGCGTGACGGCACCAGTCGCGAAGGTTGCGGCCGAGTGTCTGTCATGAAGTTGACTGGCCTTGTCCGCAGCTACACACTAGAGTGCAACTACAACACAGGACGCATGGTGAATCTCCTGCCTCCGTGTGTGCGCGACACTGGCCGCCTGTCTGTGAACCCAGCATATGCTGTACCTCCCAAGTACACACCTCTAGTGTTTGAGGAGGTAAGCACAACAACTTTATAACCATTGACAAAAAACCTGTTGTGAAAATAGATTTGTTGATGTGATTATTGTAAGTGTCAGCTTAGTAGAAGATTAAACCCTTTAAAACTCTTTAGGTTGGCCGTGCCCTCGGAGTGTCAATATTGGATTTGACAAGTTCCAACCCATGCAGCCGTATTCCTAATTCAGAGCATCGAAGTGTGAATGGAATTCGAGATTGGTTACGTGTTAACTGTCTCTCAGATAGCCAGCTATGGACTCGCATGCTTCATCGTCCGACTCGGCCACAGGTATTGAAGAAAACCCCACCAAATGATGCCTCCGATCCAAATCCTTCCATCAATCCTGATTTCCTTCCCTCTTCCATCCCTGACTACCCTACCTACCAAACCTCTCCACCCCTGGGGACTTTAGACAGCAATTTCAGAGGAAAATGTGCTCCAGACAACAGTACTATAGATTTTGCAGAATATGTTTTAGAGACTGTTGAAAAAATTGTTAGTTCCACTTCAGCTAGGTCTCAGGATACATTAAGTGCAGATGATGAGGATCGATGGTATGATCGAAAAAAAGCTCTTCAGTATGAGCAGGAGCTTGAGATGGAGCGCTTAAAGGTGTTTGAAAGATACAAGTTCATTCTTTCAAGTGACAAGGAAAAAGCATACAGGGCCATATTTGAGAACAATGGAATGGATCGTGCAGAGATGAAAAACTGTGATAGCCAGAAATATGCCGAATTCAAAGCATCATTGGAAGAGGAATTGGCAGAAAAACGAGAAAAGGTGAAGAAGATTCGTGAACAAGATAGACTAATACATGAGAAGTTTGGGAAAACCTATGAAACTAAACAACTATTACGTGCAAGAAACTGTGGACTTGGAGAAATTAAAGAGACTAGAGAAGATAAAACTGAAAAAGCTTTTGCTCAAATTCCTACTGGTGATGCTGAATTTAAACTTGAAATTAAAGGCAGTTTAGAGAATGAGCTGGACTCTAAAACGAGAACACCCAATGTTCTGCTGAACAATGATCCGGATCTTTGCTGTTTCGCTGCTAGCACCTCAGTTGGTCCAATCTCACAGAACTCCGAAAAAAACTCAATTCCATGTTTATCTGAAGCTGAGGACTTTAGTCCAACTCCAACATCTGACAAAGCTTGTGATTGGGCTACACAAGAGTTGTGTCTGGTGAGCAGTGTTGAGCCGACTGTCGCAAAAAAAGTATTGGAAATGCCAAAATCAAATGGAGTAAAGTCAAAAAATCCCAGTTCTGAGTGGAAAAGGAAAGCTGAAAGATTCAGATTGAAGAATTTCACAAAACCTAAATTTGCTCTTGCTGTAAACGACGCTAGCATGAAAAGAAAAGAGACAGGCAAAAAAGAGCCCATAACTACTGGCTTGAGAAGGAAGTCCCTATATGCAAAGAGAGACATCAAAGTTAAAGAAGATAAGCAGCACGATTCTTGCATTACAGAAACCAGTTATTCCTCTTCAAAACCTCAAGAACCTTTGGGAAAAGATAAGGCTGCAGGCAAAAAGGCTCTTGTGAAAGAAAATGTTGTGTTGATAAGTTTGAATCCCTTGCATAGTTGTCCTGAGGATGCAATTGCTCTACCTTCAGAGAAGCAAATTTTGCAGTATGGTGATCAAACTGATTCGGACATTAGCGAAGTGATGCTGCGTGAAATACGGAGGACAAGTTGCATGGGAGCTGTCTCATTGATTTGTAAAGATGAACTCTTCCCAGTTCTCCAATCTGGTAGAGTCTTACAAAATCCTGAATCAGCAAATATTCATGTGCCTCATAGCAATGTGTCTAAACTACATTAATAATTCTGAACTCCTTGAAATGTTAAAAGAAAGCATCAACTTTTAGACATTTCATTCCAAGCCATTCCTGTCCAAAAATTTGACATTGTCAATAAAGCATTCCCCCAGCCCTGTTAAGTTTCTTGCTCTGCCGTAGTTTTGCTGTTGCATTTACACTTAGTAAAGGGATATATCCTTCAGTAACATATTTTCCATTATATTAAATTTGCTGTTGCTTGTAGTATTGATGGAAATCTTGAAATGCTGTCTATAGTGAACTGTTCCTCCTCCCTACCCACTTGTCCCAATAACCTTTCCTTAGTCGTTCCACCACCAAAAAAGAAATAATAAATAATAATAATAATCCGATTTATATTATTATAACTTGTGACATATCAGAACATGCATTTTTATGTCAACAGGTTTCCCAGTCGTCAAGTTCCCTCAGTGTTCCAAGTTCATCGGGACAAAGACCAATCCATCTCACTAAGTCTGTTTTACTGGCCCGAATTTCAACAGAATTAAAATCATTAGGAGAAGAATATGCTCGCAAGGAGCAGCTCAGACTCCAGAAGACTGCATCATGCAGCCAGCTGGAAAACCTTGAGGGAATCATAGTCCCACCTCCCAAAGAAAATATTGGGCCCCGATCAAGGCGAGGTGCTGATGCAACCTCCTTGCCAACAAAAGCTTCCAGCAGTGGAGTTCTCCAACAGCGTGCCAAAACTTTGTCTGTCGCAAACCTTCCAGGATCTTCAAGGAAAAAGCCGAAGTCGTCCGCTTCTGGAAGTGGTGGACCACTCCGACCTGTGCCAAAATCAAAGTTCCGCAGGTCCAAGACTCAAGAGTCACCTCTGCAAACTTCATCGGGCAGTGGTGACAGTGGTTTTACTGAAGAAGGAAATGCTGAGAATGAAGCTAAAACTCCTCCAAACTTGGAGCTGTGTGCTACCCCTAAAAGGCTGAAAGTGTCAGGCAAAGGCCCTAGCTTAAGGCTTCGTCGGAAGCAGGCAGCCTGGACAGTTAAACCTACTGAGGCAGAAGATAAAAGTGAGGTACACACTGACCCAAGTCAATTGTTATGGGCCGCAAGCAGGAACCAGCCTCCTCCAGTTGTTGCTAAGAAAGCAACAGTAACAGGAAAAATGGAAAAAACCTCCAGAATTGAAATTGCAAAATTAAGACCCGGAGTATTTACCAAAGTTAAAGCTGTAAAAAAATTGTCACAACCAGACTCAGCAAGTGTTGGAGAAACATCCCAAATGAAGGTGGATGAGCCTCACACATTGGCCAAGCTTGTTGACAGACTTCCCGGAACTAAAGGTGTTAAGTTGATCTCCACAGAGAATTTGAAACCCAATCCAGGTGCTACTGTAAGTAAAGACTGGAATCAGTGTAAGAATTCTACACGCAACCTGTTGGTCAAAGCAGGGAAGGTTGATATAGCTTTACCGGGTCCATCTGCAGGTGAGCAAAGTGGGCTCCAAGGAAATCACTTTGCCAGCGCTGGTTCAAGCTTCAGAATGGAGCAAAAGCTGAAATCCAGTGTTCTGCGTTCGCTGGAGAAAGGTACAAAAACTAAATCTCGACTTCTAGGTCCAGTGCGTCGCAGAAGCAGTGACGGTAAGAAGTCTAGGAAGAATTTGGACAGGAAGCCTTCATGCTCAGAAAACAGCATTAACACAACATCAGGGTGCACTTTAAGGAATGATGTTGCAAGTGATAGTAACTGTGCCAACTAAACCAAGAGCAAGATGTATAGTTCTTTTATTATTCTTGTGATTTATTGAACTACTCTCTCTTTTCTTTTTAAGATATACAAAACATAAAGGACTTACACTAATTACTTTTTAATTTACTGTTAAGTTTATGCAAAGAATTAAAATTTGTTCCTCATTCTCCTTTTTTTGTTACTTTTATTTTCAGATTTTATGTGCTTATTTTTCAATCAATATTTATTTTTGTTTCTTTTTGTAAAAAAAGAAGAGTTGAAAGATTACCTAATAGAAGTTCAGCACTTGCTGCATGCACTGACTTACATTTATTTGTATCTAATCTTCTTTTTATTACATGATTTTTGTAAAACTTGTGGTCTTCTTCTTTGCTATGTGGCTTGTTACCTGGAAATGCCTTTAGCAGTAATTGAACCTCCAATCAAATAATTTTTGTAGACCATACTGAAAACTGTGATTAGTATGATTTTGTTGTCTTTTCATCTGCATTTTCGTCCCTATTTAAGAGGTGTAATGTTTCCCAAAGGAATTCTTATAAATCTCCTAGACCAACCAAAGATCGTGTTCCCTTCCCCATATTTCTTTTTTTTTTTTTTTAAATGTTGCAAGGAGCATTTATTGACTTTTACTGTGCTAGGCAGACTTGTTCTGCTGCTGTTTCAGTATTACTGCCATGCTTGAATGCTTTAACATTAATCATTTTTTGAATGATCCTGACCCACTATTAAATAAAACTGACAATATCTTAAGTAACTGAATGTGGTCTCATAAATACAAAGTTTGTCTTAAATTTGAAAACCTTCGCCTTTGCTTGTTAGTAATTGGACCTAATGTTACTGGTTTTCTTCCAAGAACTGCATTAAGAACTTTATGGCCAATTTTTTATTGACTATTTTTTTAAAGCAATGCTACTTGTTTCTTATTTGTGAAAAGCATGCCAACACAAATGTATGACCATATGTTTCTCTTTTTGTATGTTTTCTTTGTTTGTAACCAGTTTTGTAGCATCCTTGTATTTAGACATGTGCAGATAGTCTTCTGTGTTTACTTTGCATGTTCTCATGTAGTTCTCTTCTGAAAGTAGTGTTTTGTTGAATTATTGAAGGGCTCTAACATTTTAATTTATTGTGTCTCATGTGTACAATTTGGCTCAGAAAACATCTGAAGCATTTGCCATTCAATGTACTTTTTTTTTTTGAGCTAGTTACTGCAATTTTCATATCATTAATGGAAGTTTGAATTGAGACTATTACCGTAGCTGAAGTATGTGTCTGTGTTTCAATGTATGTGTTTTGTGGGAGTTTGTTTGTTTAATATGATAATCCCACAATCTCTACCTATCAGAGCTGTGATGTCATAGGCTAGAAGACTGTTTGACAAATGTATCAAGAAGATAGTCTTTGCAGCAAAGTCAAAAACATGAGGAAATGTGAGGGTACATATGTCCATAACTATTTCATCAATAGGAACAATTTAGAAAAGCTGCTTCACATTGTTTTAAATCTTAACACTTTGCTACAAAGCAGTAGATGTGTGAATAGATGCGCAAAGTCCATTCCCCATGTTTTTTCAATTATTTGTTGTTTTTTTTTCACCCTTGGTATTTATTTGAGGTTTGAGAATATGTGTTTGGAAATTCCACTTCATTATGTGTTTGACTCTGATTGCTGCATGTTGGGCATGGTATTTTAACTTGGTGTTATGATAAGTTAAGAATGTGATGTGATTTATTTACCAACTTTGTTATGTATTATAACTGGAAGTTTATTTGTAAGCTGGAAAATCATACTGGTACGTCATTCCAGTACCTGTCAATATGGAGATGTAGCCTACTCAGTTTCTGTCTTACAAAATTTTATGATATGATCAATAAGTACATCCCATTGATGGAAGATAAAAGCTCGTCCTTTTAAATTAAAAGCTGCCCTGTTTGTAATTTTTCAATTGTATCCAAATTTCCAGGACTGTCAATGAACCCTTTCCTTGGCCTTGACCAAGGAGTTTAATTTGATTTTAATGCCACTGTATTGTCTTTTTTCCTCTTCTTTGTAATGCAGACTCTAAATAATTTGCTTTGTGAGTTAGAAAAATGCGATGGGTATTAATAAAACGAGGATATCTCCACAAAATTTAGAAATCTCTGGCCTTATTTGTAACCCATCATCATTCCTCGATACCACCCTTACAGACGGACTAACGTCAGTTAGACGAATTCCATGAACTTCTACACATAACAACTCAGCGGGTTGGGACGTTTTTGTTTTAGTGGGAAATCCTACATAGGCCTGGCCTAAAGCCAAAGGTTCCCGAGCTATTATTTCCTGGATTGCACACGCTACCTTGCACTGCTTGTTTCTGTCTCTGTCTTGCACCGGCTGCTCCAAGACCTGATTAGTCGTGGCGGCGGGGGCCGGGCAGCGTAGCGGCAGTGTAGCGGCAGCGTAGCCCTGCGGCTAGAGAGCCTGCGGCATGCCTGCGGCCCCAAGGCGCGCCGCGCCGCGCCGCGCCGCGCCGCGCACCGGGGCGTGTCGCGTGTCCGTGTCGGCCTGCCATGGCAGGGCCATGGCAGGGCCATGGCAGGGCTCTAGCCTTAGCCTGCCTCGAGGACCCCTCCCCCTCCCCTCTCCCACGGGCAGCCCGGCAGCCCCTGGCGTCGGCCGTCAGCGTCTGAGGACTCCTAAAGTCGCAAAGTGCTCAGGCGTCCCCACCCGCCGCCCCAGCCCCAGGGCGAGTGCCGACCTCAAGGCACCGCGACACCGAGGCTTTATAAGCCGAGTGTCGCTCCGCGCGCGATCCTTGTCGAGCACCGCGAGCTGACGCGACCATGGCCAAGGAGCCAGCGACGACGACGGTAAGTTCCCCGCGCGTCCTGCAGTCCTGCGCTCGCCGCCGGTTGCAACATTCTAACCCTCACTCTCCGCTTTGCGTTCACCCGCAGGCCCGCAAGCCGGTCTCCTGGCGAAGCCTCTTCTTGCTTCTGGCCGCGGTCATCTGCGCAAGCCGAGGTGAGCGGTAAGTCCGATGATCGTCCATCTCGGGGGGTCCTGTAAGGGGAGCCCCTGCGAAGCCCGGGGTAGGCAGCCGCCGGCAGCCGCAGTGCACTCGTGTGTGGCGCGGCGCGCATTGCCTACCCCGCCTTCCGCAGGCGCTCGAGGCCTTGAAGCCTCGGCCCTCGGCGCCGCTGTGGCTGTGGCCCGCGTTTCGACTTGACGGACTTGACGGTGTCTGCCACTGCCAGGGTCCACTTCCGCATCCACTCCGGCGACATCGTGGACCAGCACACGCACACGCGCACCGTGCTGCTGCGGCCGGACGGCGAGACGCTGCGGCACCTGCGAACGCTGCAGCACGGGCCGCCCGCCCCCGCCAGCCCCGCCGGCCCCGTGCTGTTCCAGCCGGGGGGCGCGGCCAACGCGGTCAACGGCGTGCAGGCCGTGCAGGCCGTGAGGGCGGCGCCGCACCAGCCCGTGTCCTTCATGCGGCAGACGCTGCAGGTCCCCCTGCCGCACCAACAGCAACAGCAGCGGCCCGGGCCGCCCCACGACCCCAACCCGGGCCTGGGCGCCACCGTCATACAACAGGTTTCCTGCATCATTTAACGAAACAAGCGACTAGCCGTGTTGGGTCGCTCGGGTCGAGTCCCAAACGCGATCTACGAACCGTGTCCTCATGACAGTCTTGTCCGTGTTCGCACAGGTTCCCCTCATGCCGATTATCCCTCTGGTCCCCATCGCTGGCGGCGGCCAGCCCCTGTCTGCGCCCGGCAACGTCGTCCTGCCTGCACCGGGGCAGCACCCCGCCCTGGCGCACCCCGCCTTGGCGAACCACCCTCCAGCTGCGCAGCGCCCAACGACCCCTGCGGCCGGCGCCCCGTCTCCACCCGCGCGCGTCACCACCAAGAAAACCACGACGCAGATGGTGACGCACCAGATGTCCGGGCCGGGGCCGTGGCCCATGCACATGCTGCTGCCGCACGGCCCCAACGGCGAGCTGGTGCCCATGCGCCTCGTGGCGGTGGGGCTGGCGCCGCACCCCGCGGCCGCGCCCCAACCCCCCGCAAAGTCCGGCGCCCTGCTCGCGCCGCCCTCCGCCGCCGACCTCAAGAAGGGCAAGGGCTGCAAGGCGTTCATCCAGCCCGGCGAGGACCCCGACGTGGGCGACTGCTTCCTGGAGGAGTACGAGAACGGCTACAACGAGGAGCGCAGCAAGAAGACGTTCTTCGGCGGTGACAACTCGAGCAGCAAGCAGGAGAAGGAGGGCGCGCGCAACAGCAAGCGGTACAAGAACGAGAGCAGGCAGGTGCACAGCCCCAAGGTGAAGCACACCTGGGTGCGCGGCCCCGACGGCAAGCACCGCCTCGTCCGCACCGAGGTGGGGCCGCTGTTCACGGCGCAGGCGGCGCAGGAGCCCTCGCGGCAGAGGCGCCCCGGCAAGGTGGACGGCAAGGTGGACGGCAAGGCCAGGCACAAGGTGACGCTGGTCCGACTGCCGCCCGGCGCCACCGCCGTCACCACCGTGCTGCAGGGTCAGAAGGGGCCGCGCGACGAGCAGGACGTGTCTCTGGACGACGACGACGACAAGCTGCTGCAGCAAAGCGACGACCTGGACAACCAGCAGCGCGAGGACGAAGACGGCCTCGTCGAGGTGTTCAAGAACCCGCCGCGCCGGCCGCCCATCACGGCGCCTCTCGTCGCCGTCAGCCCCGCCAAGCCCATGTGGGTGCAGGAGTACCACCCCGTGCGCGTCAAGCAGGTCGGTTCACGCATGAGGTTCACGCGCCCTGCGCCCTGCGCCCTTCCCAGTCAAATTATTCATTTCCTGTTTTATCTGACCGTGTATAGACGACTTGAGCTGGGCGAAAGAAGAGGAAGAAAATACCTTCCCGAACATGGCGGACGGCCGCCGTCGGCTGCTAGGACCAATGAGGGGCCGGCCGCCATGTTCGGGAAGGTATTTTCTTCCTCTTCTTTCGCCTAGCTCAAGGCGTCCATTGCTTCCCTTCGCGCAGGTTGAGGCCGACGAGGACGAGTTCGAGGTGGAGGAGAGCGCGTTCGTGCCCGTGGTCGTGTCGCCAGAGCTGGCCGCGCGGACCGCGGCGCGGACCGGCATGCACCCGCTGCAGCCTCGCGCCATCGACGACATGGACCTGGGCTGGTCGTCGGGCTTCACGGACAGCGCGTTCGACGCGGACGACGCGGACGACAAGGCGGACATGCAGGCCGAGGTGGACATGGCCGACTTCGACCACAACATGGATGACGGCGAGAGCGAGGCGCAGGGCCAGGACCACGGCGGCGACGACCACGACCACGAGCAGGACCACGCCGCGTCGGAGATCGTCAACGTGAGCACCTTTCTCGTGATCGCTGTCGCGCTTGCGGTGGCTTTGCCTAACCACGCTCTTCTTCTCCAGGACGGGCTGTCCTCGCACCCGATGCTGAGCGGTGAGGGCCTCGCGGAGCGAAGCCTCAAGCAGTCCAAGCAGGGCCAGAGCGCCAGCACGCCGGGAATGCGCGACATCCTGGCGTCCGACGGCCACATCTTCGCGCCCGCCGCGCCGCCAGCGCCGCATCCCGCAGCCTTCGGCGCCAAGGACCCGGACAGGCTGGAGTCCGGCCGCAAGGCCCCCGTCGTGGTTGAGTTCGGCCACGAGCTGTCCGGCTACAAAGTGACGCGCGAACGCGAGCAGAAGAAGTGGCGGCGACGCCGGTGAAGTTTTGCTAGCCGCTAGCGGTACGGACACTGAGAGTGGTCGTTGTAATCGTCGTGTCTTTGGCGCCGAGCTCCGCAGTATCCACGCGCCATGCCCTTCCCTTCCCACAGTGTCGCGCCGCGCCAGTCGGCATGATGCGTTTCTTGTCGCTTTGCGTTGCGCGTTGCGCGTTGCGCTGCGTCCAGCCTGATCAAGACAGCGAAAGTGAAGTGCGATGGCGCGTCGGATCTGGGAGCCAAGCTTCGCAAGAAGCATGACCGCGCCGATTAGACAGAGAGAGAGAGGGAGAAGGGTGTTTTATTTTGCCTGTGCCCCCCCCCCTTTTCTCAGCCGGCCGACCCGATTACTTGTGGCCTCCCTTGTTTATCCACGTCGATGCGGCCATTCGGCCACGCAACGCATTATCTATGCTCCCGTTTAGACTGCCCACTGGCCTTGCCGGCCTCGCCTCCGCCGCGGTGGTCCTTGCCCCGCCTGGCCCCGCCCGCCCCGCCCTAGCCCCGCCTCGCCGCGGTGCTAGGTCGCCACGGTCGTCGCGCGGCTCCTCCGAGACGTCCAGAGGGAAGTCCCCAATGGACAGGCAAGCCGGCAACTCGCAATAGATGGTGTGCCCAAAATGTTCCACGCAGGCCACTACTACAAAGAACACACGCGCGCCTACGCGGGCACGGTGGCTGCGAAGTGGGGCGGCAGGGCAGGGCATTCCCTGATACAGTTGGCTGGGCGCGGTGACCAGTAGAGCCAAGCCAGAAGTCAGGCGGCGGCACTTGTTTTTTTGCGGCGCTTAGTCGGTCACTTTGCTGGTATTGTTACATGTTATGGTGTTACCCAATGTTGTATTAACCAGTTCCCCAAGGGAAGTCCTTACTTTAAAACAGTAACATGGATTGTGCCATAGAATATTACTGTGAACTAATTTGGGGTGATTTCGATGTTAGAATATGTTCAATTCAATTTTTTCCCCACCAAGAAAAGCTTGTTTGCAAACCTGTTAATGAAAAAAGAAGTTTGTTTTGTTTGCCAATTATTTTTTTCAAAAAATGCTGGGTGGAAAAAAAGGCGTACATATCAGATGTTTAGTGCTCACTCACTGGAGAGTTTATGAACTACAAAAAGAATTCAAAATCGAATGTTGTTGATTAAATCTGGAGAAGGTGCTCACAACTACGAATGTACCATATTGGTGACAGCAAATAAATAACCAAAGAAAGAATTCTGAGAAACTGTTCCTGCTTGTTTTATTTTGGATAGTTTCACATTCAACGGCTCTGTTTCTGTATTTTTTCTTTTTAACTGCTCTTTTGAAAAAAAAAAGTATTAACATTATTCTTGAGGAAGACCGCTTCAGTTCCAAATTCATTTGGCTAGGGTCTAGTCGAGCATATTCATGAATCATAGAGAAAAGTCAAATCTTATTAAAATTGACCAACACCAGATGAATATTTGACAACACACAAAACAAGATCAGAAAAGATCAGCTTACATCAGCAGATAAACTAGTTCCAATGAAAAGCTCTAACAATTTTGTAGCAAAACAATAAACATGATTCAGTTGAAAAGGGGTCTTCGATACATCACATAAGCACCAGACTGATGCATGACTACTCAGGACAGGGTGTCTACTATTATTTAATAAAAAAATGACAAAAATAATGAAAATTTTGGATATTTCTGAATCTTCTTTGAAATGCTTAGTTGTATTGATGCATGATGTCTTAGATGCTGTATGTTTTGACTGCACGTTTTCAAATTTTCATATTGCATGGTGCCAATAATTAACCTAACTATAGTATTGAGTTCTTTCATGATGCGATTATAGTTACTAACAATACATACTTAATTTCTAAAGTCTGGTCTGAGTGAACACAATACAACCATGAAAAAGGTACAGTTCATTATTATTTTATCTAGTAAAAAAAGTACTTTTAGATTCATTTAACAATAAGCTTACAAAAACACAGTGGCAGAAAAAAGAAAGGAAAAAAAAAAAAATAGATAGCCATAACATCTTTGGGTTTAGAACTGTTTGTAAAAACGAGCACAGCTGAGTGTCCCTCACTGATCTGAAAAGCAACAACTTAAAAGTTCAAAGAAAGTAAGGACACACAAGCATTCAGCATACTTCATAAATTTTAAATTACAATAAATATCAGATGAAATGCAACAATGCATCATCCCAGCCTGAAATACTCAATATCACAAGGGGTTTGTTATACAATCAATCATGTGTTTGCACTGGAGTGGTTACAAGGTTACAAACACAAAAAACAAAACTTGTAATAATAAATAACAAGAATCATGAAGAAAGTAATAGATCAAAGTAAAAAAAGAACCTGCCTGAAGGCCAAATAAACGAGACAGTGTTCGATAAGGGCACAGAAAGATGTTTCATAGTTTAAAACAAAACAACAATAAAAATATATATATTGGTGAAATTCCTATACTTTAAGTGCATCTTGTAATTTCTTTCTTGCTGATAAGACTCGATCTTCTTGCCGCTTGATGTCGTCATCTATTACTTGAACAGCCTAGGAACAAACAATAAACAAGGGCGTTAGTTGAGTAGACAAAATGTTAAGAAATTTCCTTTTGACGTCATAGGAACTTGTACCTGAACGAGTGGTTGATCTGGATTTAGAAAGACGCCTGGGTTTCTATCAAGGGCAGAGCGGCTACCAGTCTGACCAGTAACTGGTTGAGCAGACACATGAAGAGCAGTGGCCACAGATTGTAGTAAAGTTTCATCACCTACATGAGGTCCAACAGGTTTCAGACCCTTGGGTAACTCCATTGCATCCAACTCCAACCCATCAATATCACATGCCCTGAGTCCTTCCAATCGCTTCTCCCAGAAAAGCTGAACATTTTTAAAAATAGACAGAAGATAATGAATTAGAGGTGCCATAAGACAGTACGTAATTTTAGCTCCAAATAAAAAGAATATTGTAACACATCTTACCTGCTTGGGCTTGTCTTGGCTTTGAGGTCCTTGTTTGAAGTCTGATTTAACTTTTCCTTCTTGAGTTTTGTGCACTGTTACTGGCTGTTTGAAGATGGATGCAGTCTGTCTTATTGGTGGAACAAGTGAAGCATCCGTCCGAACACCGCGACTATGGGCACACAGAATATAACATTGCAATGTGGTACTCACAAAACATTAAATTAGCGAAAAAGCTTGAAAGAAAATGGGTCATTAAACAAATGATAAAAATAATATGGAATAGTATATGAACAACCACTTATTTCTACATGAAATGAGAGGGTTATGTGCAATGAGAATACAGAATACTTCTATCCTAAAAACTGAAAGAAGAGAGAAAATAAATGTGGACTCAAGCTAGCTTGTTATGAAAAATAACACAAAACTCAAACACAATGATTCAAAGTCCTGAAACTACACGCTGCCTTCATGTCAGATAACCGGCAAACAATTGCAAAGATCGTCACGAGTTATGTCTCATGAGATAAGCTACCCGATTTCCCAAATTTGTTAGTGTCGTTTTCAAACCAGCTACTTGTCAATATGTACATTTTCCGTGAGAAGAATTCCGAATACCTTGCCACTTCAAAAACAAGTCTACAAATGAAATTCGGACCCTCTTAATGATAAGGTGATGATTTATATATGAATGATGGTTATAACTATCTTCATTGTTGACTACAGTAAGCATAGGCTGTTACAAGTATGAAAAAGCATATTAAAAGCATACTGAAAACTTTGGCACACTATATTGGTATGGATTTTACCCAAATAGCATGCAAGGGATTACATATTAATACATCTCACAATGTATACCCAGAAACAAATGAGTGCAATAGGCAAAAAAAAATAAAAATGAACTCATACTGGCACAAGTACTCTGAATTTTTCTAAACTTTCACCAAGGTGAGTGCATGTCACGTAAGTACCTGTAATCGAATTGTATCCCTCTTGGCCTCTGTTTGGTTTTCCTTAAGGCATTGTTATTGATATTACCAGTTCTAAAATCAAATGATGAGAGATCGACAGTCTCTCCCAGATAACGTGCCAGTTGAGGTTTGCTGCGGAATCGATGGCCCGATGGACTGTAACCCAATGACAAATCTGGGCTTCAGTACATTTCTTGTCATGAGACTTACTTCAACCAGCTGTTTTCAGTATATGATGTATATGTATTAGTCTAGGTTTGAGCACTTGTTACAGAATTAAATGCAATGAAATTCTGCTACTTGGGTATTAATGTTGAAATGAAAATTTTTGTGCATCAAAAACGATGAGTCGTTGAAAACCTGCTAAAGATGCAGCCTCTCCTTAACATAATTATGATACAAGAAAATGGATTATGGTTAAAGCTTCACTGCGACATTAATTGAAATCGGCTGTTCATAAATGGTCGAAGTGTGGAAACCACACATCTAAGATTTGTCTTCCCATGACAGGAAAGTTTGAGGCAGATACCGACTGACTGAGGCAGCAACATGGGTTACCATAGAAAATTTTTAGCGATTTAAGGATCGGTCATTCAACCATAATATGCGGCATAACCTATAGGCAGCACCTTGCACCATTAGCAAGTGATGCGATTCGAAGACTTCTGAGAGAAATCTCAAACCACGATGCATACAACCTGCACCGTCAAGGCCCCATAGGCATTACCGTCACGTGCTTTCACAAAAATCTATTTAACTTTTAATTACCTGTAATAATAGATATCCACTTTCCCCGCTGACAAGCCAGACTTCCGAATAATTTCTTCTCTTTGCCATCCTTTCGGCAAAGCTGTACAGTCAAACTTTTTCTTTTCTACAGACATGGTGAAATACTTTCCAAAGAGAACTAGAGGACGTATAGCTCCAGTTAGTTTTAGTAAGCCATTCCCAATTTAAATTCTCAAATAACAACAGAAACAGTCCAACCGCAACCAACGCCAAGCTGGAACGCAATTTCTCATCATGTCTGTCATGTGTGACCAAAGTGCTGCCCTCTAGCGTCGCTCTCGCGAAACGCACGAGAGGACCACTGCCATGGGGTATCGACGACCATTCATTCTGGTATAGTGCGAACGCGTCAAAATCGAAACAGCGCCGAAATAGGCGCTGAGACGGAGAAACAGTCAGCAAAATGTTAACAGGCTAAAACGGACTGGTCATTACAGAAAATCAGGTTTTATAAGGGAGAGAGGCGTTCATTAATCTGCCCCACTGTAATAAGTCCCGCTCGAGGACTATCGTCGGAGACAGGAGAAATAAAGCCAAGCAGAGAAAACAAGAACAGTCGAGGGTAGTTTTGTCCCTAAATTCAAGTGTGGTGGCGGCGGTATGCCATTGCCTGCGTTGCCATCGCCGTGGCCGTGGGCCGAGCCGAACTCCGCGCGGTGGCGCACCCTGGCGGCGCAAAGCCGAAGTGGAGTGGCGCGGGGCGGGGCGTGGCGGGGCGGGGCGGGGCGGGGCGGGGCGTGGCGTGGCGGGGCGGGGCGTGGCGGGGCGGGGCGGGGCGGGGCATCCGGGTTCACCACCATCCCTACGTGCCTTCCGAACCCAACCCCGCGTTTTTCTCAGTCGCTCGTTTGTGCCACGGGTGGAAATAAAGGCAAAGAGGTCGCGGGTTCAAATATCGGCGGTGTAGTTTTGCGGCTCTGACTGCCCACACGCGCCGCGCCGCGCCGCGCCACTGGCGCCGCGGCCACAGCGACATGCGAATAATGGTCGGATTAACTGGGCAACTGGACCACTCTCCCCTCCCCATCCCTCCCCCGCTCTCGAGCCAAAGCCAAATAATGGATATTCCGACACGGCTCGCGACGGCATCGGACGGTGATTTATCGCAGCGACTAGCACAGCAGCCACTGCACAGTGGGCCAGAAGACCGGTGGATGCGGACAAAACTCTAGACGTGTTTTGAGCTCCAGAGTCCCCAAATGGGACTCGAACCGAGCGTTTGACCCCACCAATAGATTCCTCGTTCGGAGGGCAATTTATTGGTGGGGTCAAACGTTCGGTTCCAGTCCCATCTAGCGACTCTGGAGCTCAAAACGCGTCCGGTATTTTGACCGCCTCCACGGTCTTCTGGCCCACTGTGCGGCCCGGCCAGCACAAGGTCCGAGCTCCCCGCTCCCAGCGGACGTCTATGAAAGACTTCGGTCTCGGTGGAGCCAGGCTGAGCCATGCCAGGGGTCAAGGCGTGTTTGCGCAGCGCGCACTGAGGCGCGAACCGGGTCGCCACTCAGGGCGCACTGTCCCGCTGACCTCTGACCTCGCCGCGCGGAGCCGAGCGGCGCCGAGCGGCGTGGCCCCGCTCTGGATTACTGCCTGTGCTAAGTGGGGCCGAGTCTCGGGCCGAGTGGGCCGGCCGCCACCTCGCGGCCTCGCCTCGCCGCGCCAAAAGCCGCCGTTCCCGCCAACATTTCCCTGGGGCAACTGGCGGCAGCGCGGCAGCGGTTACGCGTTCCTCTTCCCGGTAACTTGCCCGGCATCCTCTGGGACCCCCATGAAGGCTGCGGGCAGGAGAGGGATGGCGAGCGGCAGGAGAGGGATGGCGAGCGGGCGGGACGGCAGGGCCTGCAGGGCCGGGAGGGAGTGGAGGAACGCGGAAGGGGAAGTGAAGCTGCGAGAGTCTCGTCCTGGACGTCCTGGACCCGGGATGGGTCGATTGGCGCAGAGCGGCGCAGAGCCCTTCCACCCCCGGCATGGCAGGGCCTAGCCGGGCCTAGCCGGGCCCGGCCCGCTCGTAGTGCTACAACGCTCCCCCACCACCCTCCGTCCCGGCGCACCCCGCGCACCCACCCTCGCGGCGCAGGGTACACAGAGGGCCGCCCTCCGCGCGGCGCGGCGCTGCGTCTCCCTCGCACCCCCGGCCTTCCCGGCCTCCCCGGCCGCGGCCGGCCCCTCTCTCTCGCACGTCTGGGTCGCGGGAGTCCGTTGAACCTGGCCAGCCCGGCCAGCCCGGCAGCCTGGCAGGGGGACGGGCTGCCTGCGCTGCCTGCGCTGCCTCGGCTCTGCTGGGGGGGCTGCCGTGCGGGGCCGGGCCGGGGCGTGGCGTGGTGGTTCGAGGCTCGGCGGGGCAGCTCCGTGGGGTCATCGACTCGCCGGTTCTGTCCGGGCCGCGGCGTGGCCACGCTCGGCATGGCCGTGGCATGGCCGTCGGCCACGTCGGCCTGGCGGGGGTAGGGAACGTTATCCCAGCACGTTGGAGCGCGGTCCCGCCCTTCCCAGCCCTACCCTGCCCCCAGCACTGCCCTCAGCCGCCCCGCCCGGGATATATCTGGGTCACGCCGCTCGCAGGGCGTGGCGGGGCGTGGCGGGGCGTGGCGGGGCGTGGCGGGGCGTGGCGGCGTGGCGGGGCGGAGCGGATCACCGTCATCGCCCTGGCGCACGCGGGGGTGCGGCGGGGCGCGGCGGGGCGCGGCGGGGCGCGGCGGGGCGCGGCGGGGCACAGCGGGGCGCGGCGGGGCGCGGCGGGGCGCGGCGGGGCGCGGCGGGGCGCGGCGGGGCGCGGCGGGGCGGGCAGGGCAGATACTAGGCTGGATACTGCAGTAGTTGCAGCACGCCGCATATAGTGGGGTGCAGCCTGCAGCCTACGTCAGTGCGGGGCGGGGCGGGGCGGGGCGGGGCGGGGCGGTCGGCGTACTTTCCGGGTCACGGGGCTTCGGAGGCTGGCGGAGGCTGGCTGGCCCCGGAATAGAACAGCGAGGGCCCTTTCGCTTGGCACGACGTGGCGGGGCGGCCCTGGTGGAGGCCCTGTCCCCCTGTCCCCGGGAGCCCCGTGCCTGCGAGGCACTGCGAGGCACTGCGAGGCCCTCCCCGTGATTGGCCCGTCCAATTACTGGCGGCCTTCGTCTTGCTTCGAGGTTCGAGGTTCGGGGTTCGGGGCTGGAGGGGGCCGGCGGCGTATTCACGTGGAAAATGGCCCAATCATATTCCAGCGAGTGGGGCGGGGCCAGGCGGGGCCAGGCGGGGCCAGGCGGGGCCAGGCGGGGCCAGGCGGGGCAGCGACAACGGCGGCGCCGACAATGGCGTGCAATCAGGACGATGCCGTGCAGTATTTACTCGTCGCCGCCGTCTGCCGATGCCGCTGCCACGCCGCCACGCCGCCACGCTTCTCGCTGTTTCGCCGGCCGTCACGTCGCGCTTTGAATAAATCTGTGGCGCGTTCTGTCTGCTGGTAACACCAACATTCGTTGGTGTTGCACAGTCGGTCCGAAGACCGGCCAAAACTCTAGACGCGTTTTGAGGTCCAGAGTCGGTAGCGTCGAGAGTTTTGGCCGCCTGCGCCGGTCCACTGACTGCCCCACTGTGTGTTGGTGCCGCCGTGCCCGCCGCGCCAGCCGCGAGGCCCGGGCGCTCTCAGCCTGACGACCAGCGCATAGGCAACACCAGCGCGGCGCGGCCGCCGGCTTGCCTACCCAGCAAGGGGCTCTACGCCGCCAGCCGCCACCACCAGCCATTGCAGCAAGCATTGCAGCCACTCAGCCGCGTTCAAGCTGGGGTCGAGGCGGTCGCCGAGGCGGTCGCCGAGGCGGTCGCGGTACCGGCCGGCCGGCCAGCGGATCGATGAGCTGTCGACCACGCGACACGCTTCGATGAAGGGGCAAGGGGCCGAGTGCTTGCCTTGCCTGTGCTTGCCTGCCTGCGTGGCTGCCACGTCAACACCGCGGCCACTAACGCCACGCCATGCCATGCCACGCCGCGCCACGCCGCGCCACGCCACGCCATGCCATGCCACGCCACGCCACGCCATGCCATGCCACGCCACGCCGCGCCACGCCGCGCCACGCCACGCCACGCCACGCCACGCCACGCCACGCCGCGCCACGCCACGCCATGCCATGCCACGCCACGCCGCGCCACGCCACGCCACGCCACGCCACGCCACGCCATGCCATGCCACGCCGCGCCACGCCACGCCACGGCAGGGGGCGACTTGGTCATGCGCGACTGTACATTTGCGTTGAGGGAGGAAGGCCGCGCCGCCGCTCCAGTATTCCGGGACAGCGAGGGCAGGAGGCCCGGGCCGGGCCCCAAACCCACCCAAACCCAACAACGCAACTGCGGCACGGAATAAATAATTACAAGGCGGGGCGGGGCGGGGCGGGGCGACCGTCAAGACAAGGGACATCCGCCCGGCAGCGCGGCCCGCCGGTCTGAGGACGGCCGAAGAATAGGGAATGGAATTAAAATGCAAACGCGGGGCCTGGGGGCCTGGGGGCCTGGGGCCTGGGGGCCTGGGGGCCTGGGGGCCTGGGGGCCTGGGGGCCTGGGGGCCTGGGGGCCTGGGGGCCTGGGGGCCTGGGGGCCTGGGGGCCTGGGGGCCTGGGGGCCTGGGGCCTGGGGGCCTGGGGGCCTGGGGGCCTGGGGGGGCCTGGGGGCCTGGGGGCCTGGGGGCCTGGGGGCCTGGGGGCCTGGGGGCCTGGGGGCCTGGGGCCTGGGGCCTGGGGCCTGGGGGCCTGGGGGCCTGGGGGGCCTGGGGGCCTGGGGGCCTGGGGCCTGGGGCCTGGGGCCTGGGGGCCTGGGGGCCTGGGGGCCTGGGGCCTGGGGGCCTGGGGGCCTGGGGGCCTGGGGGCCTGGGGGCCTGGGGCCTGGGGCCTGGGGGCCTGGGGGCCTGGGGCCTGGGGCCTGGGGGCCTGGGGGCCTGGGGGCCTGGGGGCCTGGGGGCCTGGGGGCCTGGGGCGCCTGGGGGCCTGGGGGCCTGGGGGCCTGGGGGCCTGGGGGCCTGGGGGCCTGGGGGCCTGGGGGCCTGGGGCCTGGGGCCTGGGGGCCTGGGGGCCTGGGGGCCTGGGGGCCTGGGGGCCTGGGGGCCTGGGGGCCTGGGGGCCTGGGGGCCTGGGGGCCTGGGGGCCTGGGGGCCTGGGGGCCTGGGGGCCTGGGGGCCTGGCGCGGGGCGGAGGGAGACGCCCCGGACTGGGGCGCTACTTTTTCGGAAAGATAAACACGGCACAGGCACGCTTTAAATTTCTCGTCCAAACGCAG